CCAGCCGATTCCGTCACGTACATAACAGGCGAGTTGTCGCGGTTGCGAGACGGGCTGCTGCGCCGCGGTCCTCCTCGCAAGCGTTTATCGCTCTTATCCGCAAGCTAGGTTTCCAGCTCTCCGAGATATCTTTCTAGCCAGCAGCGTGTGGAAACCACGGACCTCCGCCGCACTCCTCGGGAGACCACGCGAATCACTCGTTATCGGAACGAAAGAGGATTCGGAAGACGAATCGAAGATGATCCTGTTCCCGCGTAGTCGTCCGTGATCCTCGAGCGATCTCGCAAGGGGGTATCCTCCGGCGAGAGGATGTATCGTTCTACGGTCGTTCCAGGCTGGCACTCTCCGCACAGAAATGGGATCGACGAGTGTCGCGCGCGGCATTCACTGGATCGCGTTCGTTAAAGCGCCGACCGTGTCGCGGCTGGGTATCTGCGAGCGGAAAGAAATATCGCTGCAACGACGGCTGGACCGGTGCGGGCCGGAATGGCAGCGCGACGAACAGCTCGGAGACCGTCGAAATCGAAGCGCGCGTGCCGTCCCTCACCCTCTCCGCTGCTTTGCTCGGTGTCCGCCTCTCCCACTGCCTCGAGCCTCTCTTTTCGATTTATCTTTTTCTCGGCGCTTCGGTTGCCGAAACTCGTCCAGCGTGTGCCCGCGCGGGGTCCGGATAATACCGCGAGAGCGCAGGTGTTGCCGGCTGCTGGCCGCGGCAGGTGGAAGGCGATGATTTTTTGTTAGTCGCGAGAGTTTCGAGTTTCAGCTGGCCAGGCGTTCGTCTGCGATTCGCGGCACGGAGTCGGCCAGCCGCGTTCTCCTTATCGCGATCGACCGGAGAGTCGGCGAATCCTGCCTGTCGCGGCCGGGTCGAGATCGAGATCTAGTCTAGAGAGACCTGCGGCAACGATCGCCGAGCCGAAGCGGTAAACGCGTCACCCTCGGTACGCGTTACTTGCGTGCCAGCCGTTTTTGTTCGCGATCCACGAGCCGCGTCGCGTGATCACCGGCATCGGTATCGGCCCGTCGACGACGGTGCTTTCCGCGAACGCGGCGAATCGAAGGTTATGCGCGCGTCCCCTATCGATCGGCAACGTAATCCGCCGGGAACAACGGGCACGCGACCAATCGACGAACAAAGAAAGCGGACGCCGAAAGAAACGATCCGCCGATCGACGGAGCGCGTTCGAGAGCGCGTTCGAGAGCGGGCTCTCCCGTCGGTGACGCAAGAATCGCGGGACGTTCGATAATCCAGCGATCGGCCTTGCCTCTTACCCTCGACGCTCGGAGGAGAATCTATAAAAATAGTTGCGCAACCGACGCGATCGGAGTTAACCTCTTCGGATAAGCGGAGATTTCGTATCGGGGAAAGGAGACGCGGATCCACTTACGTCGGGATCCGTTTAAGCGAACCACCTGTCATTGACTGGAATCAAGCGTAAACGACATCTGCCGCAATTTCCGTTCGAATTTAGCGCAGAACGATCCGCTCGGCCTCGTCCAGACGGGCAATTCGAAGAAACGATCTCGAGCGGGTATCGTCGATTCCTCTCTCCGACGCTCCGAACGAAGAGAGCAGGCCTCGCGAGAGATCCTAAACGCGTTCCGATCGTTCGCAGATTGCACTCGTGCGAGCCTAAATGGAACCGGACGCGCACAGCCCGCGACTCCGAGAGCGAGTTCGTTGCTATCCGCGTCTGTTCGGTTTACTCCGGAATTACGCGCAATTCCATCGCGTTTACCGTAACGAGGCTGTTTCGCGGGACGGACGTGTTTCCGACGCGAACGCGGGACGTCGTCTCGCAAGCATTGAACCGCGGCGGCGGCAGCAGCAGCAGCAGCTGACTTTCGCCGAGGCGGCCGCGAGTTTCCCTCGCATCTCGCCGACTCGAATTCTCCGCTGATTCCCTCGCCGCGGCCGTTTCACTCGCTCGCACTCCCGAAAAACCGACTCGCGGACACCGGTCTCCCGCGACGAGAGGTCGTTCTCCAGGAGCAACGAACAGGCGGACGCGTTTCCCCGCGAGCGGCGTGTCACGACGTGGAATCGCGCGCGGCTGCGGAGTGGGAGCGAGAGCGCGCGACTTCCTAATGCCGTTAAGTTAAACGAATTAGGCCAGTTCTTCGATACGCGGACAAGCACGTAACCTTAGACTATATAGCCGAGCGAACGGGGATTGCGTTTCGACTATGACGCACGTCCGAGCCACGAGACCCCGCTATCCTCTAGGCGCTTTGCGGCGTGCCGAGCACTTATTAACCGCTTTCCTCGTTTCCTACGGCGAACGCGCTGACGCGTCTACAGGAATGCTACACGTCCGCCGCCGCTTTCTACGATTCCGACCGATTATCGGAGTCGGCTCCGATCCTCCGCTCTCGATCGAATCTCGCAACCTCCGCGATGCAACGCGGTCGCGGTTATCTGCGGCGTTATCCGAAGAAGAGTTTCGTCAGATTCCGCCGCGGAACGATCGAGTTAATCTCCGCCGACGTACGAGCGAAACGAAACGAAAACAAACGGGACCCCGGCAATGTTTCCACTGGCGGCGCTCGATAAAGCGGAAAAAAATCTACGCCGAAACGGCGACGCGACGGCCGTCGACGAACCTGTTGCGTCAACGGAAGGCAAATTAAAAGGCAACGCGTACCGACCACGCTACGTACACCTATCGTTCCTCCGTTCGATCGGCCGTTCGCGTAGGTTCGACCGACCGATCGGTACGTGCACGGCCTACGATAAACCTGCGCGTCGATGCCCACGAGCGGCGGAAAAGTGGAACGTTCGAAATCAGCGGCGTCGGGCTAAACAGAGACGGCCGGGAATTCGTTTTCCCGATCCGTCCGACCGTTGTCCCGTCGCGGTTTAGTCGTCGGAGCAGACCAAATCGAGATAGAATCGATCGACGCGCTGCGAGACCGATGAACGCGCGATACACGCGTGGTCAAGGTACGGCGGGACTAGATAATTTTAATGCGGCTAAACCGATGTTCCTCGATACATTCCTCGGCGAGACCTGTTATCGCGTCGAAATCCAATCCACGCGGCGACGTCCGTCTCGTTCGATCAAGCCTGGCCCGTTGCGACTCGCCCGACGATCGAACCTCCTTCGATCGCTCGAGACAGAGGGATCGCGGCGGAGTTTGCGTCCAGCTGGGAGAGAGAGATCGGGCAGGATCGCGGTCGCCGATGCAACGCGGGAACACGGTGTACCTTAAACGGCTCCGTTCACCGTCCCAGGAGGCACGCGGCATCTCGTACGAGACCGAGCCGTTTCCACGGATCTTTCTCACGCACGCGTACAACACATATATGCACACCGTCGTCTCCAACACTCTCGGATCCTAGCGGCACATCGCGAGACCGAAAGAACGCGTTCGCGAGGGGGGTGGTCGCGCGCTGCCACGTGCTCTTCCGCTCCGTTTCGTTCCGTTCACCGTGTCGGCCGCTCGAAATCAATTCCGAGGGGTCGCAGGAAGGGTGGATCGCGATCGATACGCCGGCTCGAGAAGAGACTCGCGAACGGGTCGAACGAACGTGCTGCTCGATCGCGAGTCTCGTACCTACTGAGCGCGGAACGGCCGCGGAACGAGCGCGAACCACGAGGACGCGCGAGCTCCGCTCGAGCCCAGCTCTTTCGCACTGGATCTTACCGCAACCGACACGCTCGTCCCTCCTCCCACCCTCTCTCGTTCCGTCTCTCTTCCACTCTTTCTCCGTTTCGCCCGGTCTCCTTCTCGCGCTCCCTGCCCGCCTCGAGCGCGCTCTCTCTCGCACCCGGCCTCCCCGTCGCGTCGTACGCGTAGTCTCGTGCACGCGTGCACGCATGGCCACGCAACCGGGAGAGTTACGCGCAGGAACGCGTCGCGAGGCAAACATTTTCGCGGACGGGACGCGGATCGTTTCGGCCGGCCGATCGGACCCCGGCGCCGCTCGACGAAAACGCGCCCCACGAAAATCCCATGACCCCGCGCGGTAAACAGAGCTCCGCGGGGCGGAACAGCGCCGCGCTTCAATGAACGTCGATATTAAATCGCGCAAACGTTTCTCGTGACTTTCGTTGAGCGGCCGACGACGGCGACGAGGCCTCGCGAGTCCGATTGCGGACCTCCTTTGTTCGTCCTGCGTTTAATCCGGTCACGTACGGCACCGTTGGACGTGCATGCGTTTATACGTGCATCGGATGCCACCGCTCGAATAGAAATTAAACGCGACCGAACCGCGCCTAGATGCGTTCGTTGTGCAACGAATGCGTTTAGAGGAAAAGAGTATGGTGACGAGGACAGAGAGAAGGGAGCGAGCGGAGCGGGAGGGGGCGAGGGTGACGGGTGCGGGAGAGACGCAGAGAGAGCGGCATCGCGGAGGTAAGGGAAGGTGATACTCGTCGGAGAGGCGGAGAGATGGATCCATTAGATTAATTGACTTCAAGACCCGGCGCATCGTACAACATGCACGGAATAAGCCTCTCGAGACCAGCGCGCCGCTAATATGCTTAATGTCAAGGTAAATTCGTTCAACTTTCCAGCGTTCCCGTAACGCTGCTCGGTTCGCTGTTTAAGAAAAATCACGAGGTTTCCCGTCGGGCAGGGCCGATCGGGGCGGAAGCGGGTCGCCGCGCTCGCACCCCCTTGGAAGCAGGGAAGCCGATTCCGTGCGGCGAGGCCGTGATCCGGCCGCGGAGCGGTTCCTTCGCTTTTAAATTCCGCTCGAAAGTGCAATTGCCCGGTGACTCGAATCGAGCGTAAGAGGGAACCGAGTTATCGATCCCCGAGTCGTATACGTGCAGAAATCCTTGACACGTTCCCTTTGCGCGGCGGCAAGATCAACCCAGTTAATGGTCGGATTACGGTCTCTCGTGGCGAGATGATCGCGCGGGGCCAGCCTTTCGCGGGAAGAACGCCTCGATCGATCGGGAAGAACGCGCTCGGTGTTACGTTACAAGCTGTTTTCCGCTCTAGTTCGGAACGCGGGTGCGATGTTCCCGGCGTGTCATCGGTTGGGGAACGCCTCGCGACGCGGACCGGAGTCTCGTTCGGTGAGCTTGTCCGGTGATTAACACAACCTTTTCTCCGAACGTTCTGAGCCACCAGTCGGTTTGGCGAAGGTGACGCGATCGCGGCGACCGGCTGCGCGTCATCGCTACCGTTACCGTCCCGTTTCGGTGAATGGAAACCGTCGGCTCTCGTCCGCGAGACCCGACGCGCGACTCGAGCCGCGGAATGATTTTCTCGAAATTCGCTCGCGACGCGATAACCCCGGAAGAAAGCGATGGTGGTCGCAACGCTCGCTCGTATCTTCTGGGGGGCGGATCGCATTCTTTTCTTTCGCGGATAGCCGGGACGAAAATATTGCCGCGAATTTCGGCAACGCGCCTTTGTTGTTGATCGACGGCTGGTTTTCGCGCGGTCCTCGCGACTCGTGATATTATTATTAACTTCACACACGTGCAACGTGTCTTTACCCTTCGATTTATCGATCCCCCAAACCCGTATACACATGTAGCCACGGGAAATGCGTAAATCCCGAAGAGTGGGCGTGCATAAACGTGGGGGAGCGCAGTCGGTGCAGATCGTTATGATTAATTTTTGGATCAACAAAAACTTAGGGCCACATTGTACTCTGTAGTAAGCAAATATTAATATTTCCGCGTGTCAAGACCTTGAATTTTATTTTTGAACGAGTACCGGTTAGGTAAAGTATGATTGAAAGGCAACGATTTCATCGATGGTCAGTCGAGCGCATTTCCTTGGTCAATCAAACTGTACAAGTTTGTTAAGATTTAGATTCGATATTCACTACGGACGTATACCTCAGCAGTATGTAATAAGCTGAAGTTATCAATAACCGTTCCGTACTTTCGACGATCGAATCGAGTAATAAATTCTCAATAGAAACTTTGACGTCTGTAATGTTCCGTCAACGATTTAGCACTACTCCACGTCACTCCGCGCGATGATTCACGGATGAATGAAACACTGAGACTTTCTAGTTTGCGCTAAGCACCAAAATTATCCGCCTAACGGTCACTACGCGTCGTTAGGCTTTCCTTTCGAAGGAGAGAACATTTTAGGCGTGAACGAGGCGGCGGTTCGTACCGAGACGTAACCTTTGTCGCATCCATTTTTCAGACGTAATCGATGCGGAGTGGCCGAACCGCGACCCTGACATTACGTTCGATATAGAAGGGATCTTGAAAAAATGCAGCGTCGAATTCGCTCCGGCGAATCTTTCGCCGAGAACGCGGAGATCAGGTAAACGAGATACGAGACGTTCTTTCTCGCCTCTCCGATCTGAAAAACGCACCGACATCGGCGCCGATTTCGTTCCGTATCGATATATCATCCATGGAAATTAACCGGTAGGTAACGCGTGTCAAGGACGCGACGATCGTGTCGTGTGTTCTCTTATCTTTTCGCTCGCGAGGCGATCCCGCGGTTGCGAAAAACATCGGCGCGATGTTGAACGTGCATTATCCGATCGAGCGGAGAGACTCGCGCACGATTCCCAGGCGTTTTCGAGTCGATATCGCGAGATCGCTTTTGCGGTGATCTCACCGTGACGACGGTGATTCCGAGAAGGAGAACCGACTGAGCGAAGCCGAGCTCCGTTACGTAATTCCATTCGGGACCGATACGCCACGAAACGAAAAAGAGCCTGGAGTTTTCCAGCGCGCGGTTTCTCGCCGGAGCGGCCGTTGCAGCTATCGGTGTTGTTTCTCGTCAGGCTTTAGCGATAATTTCCAGCGAGCCGATATAGCTCACTCGAGGCCCTCGCCGAGCACGGGACGAATCCTCGTTCGACGAACGCCGCTAGGTAGCCCGGCCTTCTCGAGATACGATTAATTTGCAAAAAAATTCTTCACCCTCTCTGCCGCGGATCGAGAGGGTCGAGAGTGTATCGCTCGCAGTTTTCGACGGATCAGCGTTAAACGGACCACAGCGCGCCGCAGCCGAGGAAAACGCGGGGCCAATAACGTTTAAGTTAAAGGGGACATCGCTGTCGGCGACGATGACGCGACAAGGCGATGCACGTTGCCGGTATTTATAGGAGAAACACGAACAAAATAATGTTATTCGATCAATCGGTGTAAAACGCCGCGATAGAGGACGCGAGCTAATTAGACTTTAATTAATCGCTTACGATCGCTGGCTGCAAACCTCGCGACGTACCGCGAGAGAATGATCTTATTTCTCGTGTAAATCCGAGCCACGAGACGCGCTCACGAAATTTCAACGGAACCGAGCGATACCTAAGACCGTTCACGGATGCACGAACGGAGCGACGCGCAGCCCGGTTTGCGGTTACCATCTGCTTTCTTACCGCAAATTGCTCCCGAGCCGTGAAAGAACTCGAATACCGTGTCGGGTTAAACCCGGTACGCGTGGTTGATCGATTCCCGAACGTTTTCGTCGCCTATCGCGTCGGCGCGATCGCGCGGTTCCTTCTCGATACGCGACGGAAACGGGAAAACCTGTAGGCACGGCGAAAAGAACCGTGTTACGGGCCTCGCGTGGACGTCGAACGAGAAAGACACGGAGGTTTCCCCACCCTCGGCGGGGAAATCGCGCGAGATTTTCTCGTTTAGCGATGAAAGTCGAGCCGCTCGGTCACGCGCGAGGGAAAACAAGCCTCGATTTCACGCGGTTTTCGATCGGTCCATGTTTCCTGCGCGATTCATCGTTCCAGCCGCGTCGCCTGGCAAAATCTCGGCCCGCGCGGTGGAAGCGCGTGCAGCCGAGTTCCGTGGACAGTGAACAGCGGCGTGGTCGTTCCACGAGGTCAACCACGCCGGTTTCTCGTAGGTGGAACCCGACTTGAGAACAATTGGCAAGGACCGTGCCACGACAGCGTCGAGAAGCTGAGCGAGAACGGGGACAATTGATTCTCTATGCCCGGCTGCGCTGCCATTTATGGCGGCCACCGCTCCTCCCCATCCTCCAGCTACCTGTCCGTACAGTCTTACGTGCGAGTCCCACCTGATGAGGCGGTCTCTCGTAATCCTTTTAGCCGAGAACTCCCCGACAGACAAATTTCTCGACGAATCGGACGGACCCCGATTCCTTCGGCCGACGGACTGGGACTTCGCCTAGGACTTCTGCCCGCGGCCCCTCGCGAAACGAGATTTTCGAAAGGAAATTCATCGAATACTCGAACAACGGAGCCAAAGGCGACCCTGAGGATCCCCTAACGGGAGGCACTAGTTATAACTTCAACTCCAATCTCGGCGAAGATGGGTGGAAGCGTCGAGATTACGTCAGAAGCCGCGAACGGTTCTCCAAGAAAATAATGTTCCCTTGATTAATAGCGGCGGCACAAGGCTCTCTCGCCTGCGACACGAAGAGGTTCGAGCTGAACTTCGGAAAGTCGAACAAAGTTCCTTTCGCTTTCGCGCCGCTGAGATGGAATTATAGCCGGTTCGAAGGTTTAATCGATGGAGATACGCGACGCCGCGCGCGGCCAATAGAACGCGCCCGTCCCCGTCGATCGGTTTTGTCTCTGCTCTCGCGTCGCGCTGATCCGAACGAAAAGACTGCGATCGCCATCTGGCGTTACCTTGGCAAACGTCGCGAACCGACTTAAAACTCTATCGGTGCACCGCGACGATTACCGCATACGCGGAAACGTTCGGCGGACCGGCGTGGCGCGCGGCGCGGCTTTTATCGGC